CCCCCCCCATTTTTCTATGCAGCTGGGACAAAAAGAATAATCCAGAACCTTGGAACAAACTGGGACCCAACGACCAGTATAAGGTAGGGTGCAAAATATCCCAACAAGACTTCTGATGCCGATTATCCTGGAAAGCCTTGTCAACTGTGAGCTAAAATGATAAGCGTTGACCTGAGAGACAGATGTATCTCTTCCTTCCAATGAGGCTAGTGGTGGTAGTGGTTGTGTTTTTTAAGTTTTTATATTCCACCTTTTTTCCAGTCCAGAACTCAAGGCAGCTTGCAAAGGTTAGGACAGATGCAACTTTAAAACTCACTTCATACAAAATTAAATGTGTCGTTAAATTAGTATAATTAAAAGCAACAGTACAACGCATTCTAAAAATGCCCTTTTCCCCTTGAGCAACCAGTCCAGGTCAATCACCAGGATTGCAGCCTCTCTAGGAAAGAGCTTGCAGGCTCAGAGCAGCCACCAAGAAGGCCCTGTCTACTGTGTTCCCACCAGAGGTACCTGTGAGGGTGGTGGCCCTGAAAGAAGGCCTGCCTCAGAAGATCTCAAAACATGGGCATCCTCACTGGGAGAATATGGTAGGCTAGGTAACCGAGACCTGACCTGTACAGGGTTTTGGGTGTCATAGTCACCACTGCATTATGCCAGCAGCCAGTGGAGCAGTTGCAACAAGGGAGCTGAGTGCCTCTTGTAGCCAGCCCCAGTTAGCCTTCTTAGGTTGTTTTCTAAGACACAGGCATGTTAGTCTGTACTACCATAAAACAGTACAAAGGAATCCCATAGCATCATTTAGAGACATAACTTGCATATGAGGAAGTAAACTTGAATATATGAAAGCTTATGCTGTGGAAAATATTTGAGGGGGGAGTTTGAGAGCTTCAGGGGCCACACTTTGGGGGTCCCAGGGTCTGCATGTGGGGCACATTTTGCCCAGTCCTGGTTTGGTAGCATCTGTTCTTGCAGAATTATTAACTGAAGAGCATTCAAAAGGCAAAACATTTTGGTTTCATTGCCAAAATTGGCCGTTTTTGTTGCATTTCTGTAGGTTCAGATTTTTTTCTAAAAAATCTAAGGGCCTTTACAGACTGCCAGAAATAATGCAGCTTGAGTCCACTTTAACTGCCCTGGCTCAGTGCTAGGGAATCATGGGAACTGTAGTTTATTGGAGCACCAGAGCTCTCTGACAAAGGCTCAGTGTCTCAGAAAAAACTACAATTCCCATGATTCCCTAGCATTGAGCCAGGACAGTTAAAGTGGTCTCAAGCTGCATTATTTCTGGCAGTTTGTAAAGGCTCTAAGTATTGGTAATATTCAATTCCTTTGGACTTCATATACATCCATCTGGAGCACGGTTCCTGTTTGTAAACTAACATGGTTTAGATTCAGTGGCTTCTTGATAAGAGCATAATGCAGCCAGTGGGGTAGAAAACACTGGTGTGTGATCTTTGGTCGAGAACAAGAACCCTTGAAAAATGGAAATGTGTGTGCTGAAAGTGAGCAGAAGAGGTTCTCTGCAAAACAGTTTAAAATGGGTTTCAGATCATAATATTTTCCCACCATCCTATTAAATCTTCCAAAGCTTTTTTGCAATTTAAAAGACACATTGCTATACAATTGCTTTGAATGGTGGCATGATCAGGGATCCTTTCTTTATAATGAAACAATTGTATAAAATTCGTACAGAGAAAGAGTGTATGTTTTATGGGGAAAAATGTCAGAATACCAATTGAGAACCTTTGTGGGCAAATGTTGTGCAATTTTTGTGTGAAAATATTTTCTTAAGTCTCAGTCTTTTCTTGTTAAAGGAACTGATTTCTGCTTATGAGTTGAAGTCTATATTGGCTTGTAGTATTTAAAGCATTTGAGCTTGCCTGCCAAAGGGAGGCAAAAGGTCCATTTCGACCATATTTGGTTTTGTATGAAAGCTGCTGTCTAGCTTTGTTGCTGGAAAAGATCTCTGGCATGTAAACTCAAGAAATAGGAGCAGTGGGTGATCTAAATGAAGCCAGTTGTCTTTGCATTGCCTTCTGTATAAAGTCTTGAATCCTTGGAACGTAAACATTAGAAATTCAACAAGGTAAACTTAGCAGTCTGGAAAATAAAGCTCGCTCCCATCACTTTACTGTGAGGATGGGAGCAGAAGGGAAGCGTCCCGGCGGATCTTCTTTTCCTGTGGGTGAATGTGGGGTCCCCTCGACAGCCTCAGGAGCTCCCTACCAATATCCCTGTCACTGTTCATCCAAGCTATAGGGAAATAACTGGGTGCTTGTCTGCTGCTCCCCTTACTCTTCAGCAGCCAGGAAATGGCAGAGTTTGAGGTGCTGCAGCTGAGAAAAGCTCAGTGTGGATGGGAGACATTTTGTACCTATATCAGATGCAGGATTGTGGCCCAAGTGGGTCTTTTACTGGATGTGCGTGCATGCATGCCTGTGCAGCTCTGATCTACAATACCCGTGCATCTGATGAAGTGAACTCAAGGCTGCATCTGCACTACAGAAATAATGCAGCTTGACACCACTTTAACTGAATACCGTAATAATAATAATGGCAGAACATCAACCATATATCAAAATCAGACAATAAAATAAAATACTGTAAAATACTAAAACTCCTTACTTATCTGAATACTATAGGATTGAGATATTATATATCTTAATATTAAAACAAGCTCCTTAACTATCATGGTCCCATCCTATGGAATCCTGGGATTTGTAGTTTGTGCCACCAGAGCTGACAGAGAAAGGTAAATCTCACAAAACTACAAATCCCAGAATTCCATAGCATTGAACCATGGCAGTTAAAGCAGTGTCAAACTGTATTAATTCTGCAGTGCAGATTAGCCTTCAAAAAACTTTCCTTTTTTCCCCCCTTTTTAGTCAGTCACAAAAGTCACACTGATTTTCCAGACCAATACAGCTTCTGTGTCTTTGAATGATACCCCTTTTTATCAGCTGGGAGGTTGTATGAGTCCTGATTCTTAACTCATCTTGAGTGTGCCCTCTCTGTCTGTAACTAGTCCCTCCACATTTGCAGTTTTGACTTTTGTGAATTTGACTAAT